TACAACCACTACGCCAACCACCATTCCCACAACACTAACCACCACGACCACCACAACTCCAACCACCATTCCCACAACACTAACCACCACGACCACCACGCCAACAACCGCAACCACTACAACCACTACGCCAACCACCATTCCCACAACACTAACCACCACGACCACCACAACTCCAACCACCATTCCCACAACACTAACCACCACGACCACCACGCCATCCACCACAACTACAACCACCACACTAACCACCACGACCACCACAACTCCAACCACCATTCCCACAACACTAACCACCACGACCACCACAACTCCAACCACCATTCCCACAACACTAACCACCACAACCACCACAACCACCAAAACTACAACCACCACACCAACCACCATTCCCACAACTGCAACCACAACAACCACCACGCCAACTCCAGCAACCACAGCCACTACGACAATCAGTGCAACATCCACGACCACCAGTGATGCATACTGCGTCAGTCTGGGCATGCTCCATCTGCTGCTTGGAATGTTCATTTTTATGCTTTTGTAAACAGAACAAATATCTGAAGCTTCAATTCTATAATAAATTGAAAGTTTTCAAAAAGCACATATTGTAGGTGCTTAAAGCAAATGTTATGTAATCCTTTTTTATTTGTCCAACTTTAAGTTAAGGGGTATTTAGTAGTTTTCTGCACAAAAAATCATATTTAAATAATTATAATTTAGGAAAACTACATTTATTATGTAACAATAAATGTGTTTTGTTTTATAATCTTTTCATCTGTGTTTTTTTAAAGCTTTGCTTTTATTTTTCATAAAATCTTAAAGATTTGTAATTTTGTTAAGCAAATATTTTTAGACTGTTTTCCTTATGTTTTTTAATACAACACACAAAATGATTTTTGAAACTTGCATCCTATGACAAACTTTGTTTCTATGTGTTAAACTGAAGAGTTGTGAGGATCTTGTGTTTTGTGTCTTGTGCTATGTCACCCTGTGATGTTCCTCCTGAGTCATACACTTACCTTCCATATTATTCTCTCTCAACTCTCTGCACTCTGTAATCACTCAGCTGTTTCCACTTAACCCATTCAACTGTTTTTTTTCTACTTCCTCATCTGGTCATTGTTTGATTCAGCTCTGGCTTCCTTCATGTGTTCTACCGTGTTTATTTTTGCTGCCATTTCAGCTGTTAACTTTAATAAAATTCTTGTTTTGGATTCCTCGAGTTCAGTCTGCATTTTGGGTCCGACCTTTCCTGAATCGTGATAAGAGGAAGACAAGCTTATGAAGAATAAAGCTAAGATTTGTACAATAACTTACTAAAAATGATTCATTAGATAATTCAACTTTTAGAAAACTGAACACAGATTGTGCTGACCAGCTGTTTCAGGAGTCCCTCAGAATTCTTGTTTTGAACCCATTTTGTTCATGAAGTAAATATTTTCTTACAGAACTATTAGCTTTATTAGCAGGTTTCAGTGTTGCGCAGTGCTAATTCAAATTTTAGTTGCGCAAATTCCAAAGCACCTATCAATTTATTCAGGTCCACAAGGTCACATATGCTCAATAAAACTTAGTGGAAGCACAATTTAAAGCACAATATTATCTCCGTAACAGTCAAGTCACCACTTTATTAGAGGTAAGATTGTTTTTCTTTCACAGATTGCTTCATGTCATCACAGTTTGGGGATTTGATTTGTCGAAACAGACTTTTAAATCATGGTGGTAAAACAAAAAAACCTTGTGGATTGCTAGTTCTGCTGCTTCTTGGTCATTTTCTTATGTTTATGGCAGGGCTTCAATAAGAAAACATGCAGATATATTAGTCATTTTAAACTGTTTGTTGTAAAACTGAAGTAATYCATTCTGGGTAGGACAAAGAACAGGAACTCCATTCTTTTCAAAATAAGAGTATGAACTGAAACTGTTCCATGTTTCTTTATTATTATTTATTTATTTAATATTTATTGCTGCAGTGTCCCTCGGAGAGGAGGTACAAATTGCACAGCTGAGCGTGGTTCTGCAGATTGTTGCCCGGTGAAGATGCTCCAACTGCTTCTGCCACACAAAGTATTGTGGGAACTGTCTCTACTAAATGAAAACTGTCATCAAGAAGGACAGTAAGTCAGAGTATAAAGCTCTGTGAATGCAATGCTGACTCAGTGGTTGCTTTTTTGACATGATGGAGCTCCATTGTGTTAAGAAGTGACAGCTTTCCCCTCCAATGTTCAAGAAAATTATGAAGTTTTAATGAATTATATGACTACAAAACATAATAAGTTTAGACGGCTCTTTCCCTTTACTTTAGACGAAATTGACGATTGAATGTAAAACATTATTTGGGATTAGTGCTACTCAATTCTAAATTTAGAAAGTGCAAATCTGCACGTCATTTAAAGAAATCAGTAAAACCCCTAAAGTGCAACGGAGAAATTTAGGTCTGCAATTAGCGCATTTGTGCTTTAGTGGACTAGTGCCCACCCCTGCTCAACCCTGGCAGTTTTGTATATCACGTTTATGTAAATACTGTCAACTATTCACAGTGGTTAGAGAGTGCAGAAATTAGAGTCATATAATTCATCATATTTATTCATTCTAAAGATAAAGGGTTAAGAAACATACCTTTAAGGTAAACTGATGAAAATGTTTGAGCATGACTTGTGATAGCATTGTTCCAGATCAACAATTACTTTAATTTGGTTTATTAGTATACAGTATATAGGACATGGCAAATGTATAAATTTGTCAATAAATGTGTTTGAATTAGCCAAAAGTTTACATTTCATCTGTTGTTTCTGTCTGGTATTACAAAGTTACCTCATAAACAAAACGGGATTATTACAAAATAAAATTTGTTCAAACTCTAAAAGTATCCAAAATGATAAATAAAATTATGATAGAAGTCTTATATATTGGTTACAGTGTTTAAAATAAGTGCATTAACTGATCATCAACAAGCATCAACAACAGAATTATCAAACATTCACCATGGCTGAAATTGTATATTGTGTTGTACGTCAATAATCTCTTGGTTTAAAGCGATTTCT